AATTATGCGTTGTGACTTTTGAAAACTTGCATCCTACTGCCCTACTAATTTTGAACTCATTAGACTCAAAATAAAATATTTGAATTCTAAAAATCTTAAGCCTTTAATATTTCACTTATGTCTATTCGATTTTAAACTCTTAACCTATTAATTTAAATTTATATTATTTTTCATAGCATTTTAATTTTAATATTTATTATTTTTATAATTTATGCCCCACTGATTGACGGTCTAGTCGGAAAAAACTCAACAGTTATTTGGAAAAAAAATTAAGAGTTTAAATGTCATGAATATAAAAAAAAAAAAAGACTTGCCTTGGCAAGAAGCATTATCTGGATTTAGGCTTTCAATACTAAATTTAAATTAATAATAATACTGATATATATTTCTAAGAACACACACAATGATATAGTTATCGAATTTGCTCGTTTCATGCAAGCAACAGTTATATTTAATGGTTTGCACCATGGAAGCAATCGGTTTCCATCCATATTAGTTAATTTTTTTATTTCTATTTTTTTGGTCATGTGGTGTTGGTTAAAAAATGGTTACTGATAGAAATATTTATATAATCATGAATTAAAAAAATTGTATTTTTTCAATGGTTATTGTTATTATTTATAAATATCATTAAATACACACAATTAATGATTAAATTTATAATTATATTTGTAAAAAAAAATAAAAACTCATTTAAAGGGAAGTTGACGTGATGAGGAGACTTAATAATGGACACATCATTTGGCTAAATTCAAAAGTTAAGAGTACTGAAAGCGGCTAAGACACATCAATAATCAACAACATCATGCAATTGATCATCATTCTGCCCTTCTATGTGACTACGAGCTTTCTTTGATTGACATGTGTGTGGAACATTCGTTCCATGATGACCTCACCCTGACTTACTTATTACATCATATATAAATAAGGAAAAATAACAATAAAATCTATTCAAATTATATGAATAATAATTTGATCGCTCAAAATGCTATAATATTAATGAAGTTTTTAGATTGTTTTATCATTAAAAAATTAATAAAAATGATCAAACTGCCCTTAGTTTAAGATTTTAAATACGAACTTGTGAGTTGCTATTGCATTTTTATAATTTTAAGAAGAAAAGTTGTAAATCTTAAAATAAAACTAGTGAATAGTAATTAATATTTGCAGCATTTGAAAAATATCAAGCTTTTAAATACAAACTTGTGAATTGTTGTTGAATTCTTATAATTTTAAGAAGAAAAGTTGTGAATATTAAAATAAAACTTGTGAATGACAATTAATATTTGAACTAAAATAATTTATATTAATTTTTTAATGACAGAAAAGTCTTTAAAAATTTCATTGGTATAATGATATTTTAAAAGATTAAATTATCATTTACATAATTTGAAGGGATTTTATTGTCATTTTCCTATAAATAATCCCCTTTTATTTTCTTTAATTTTTTTTTAATCCACAACAGGTGTATTTGGGTAAACATCAACATCCATGTGAAAACGTGCGCTCTTTATCACCAATAGGTATTGGTGGCTTAAGCACAAAAACTTTGTGTTTGAGTTTTGGCCCATTTGTTTATAATTAAAAAATAAATAATTTTTAGATAGTGTAGAGATTTATGAAAATATATTTATTTTTTAAAGATTTTATAAAAAGTAGATATTATTTTATATTAGCTTATAATAATAAAAAATAATTATTAATTAGTTGTTTTAAAATTTTATGATATCTTCCTTGATTTTTATTTTACAAAAATGATATATTATTATATTATTTTGAAATTTTATGATATTTTTACATATTTTTTTTAAAAAACTCTTTCTCATTTATCATATGATATTATTTTCAAAAAACTACTCAAACTAATTTCATAAATAATAAAAAAATTATTTTTTAATTTTGATTATTTTTTAAAATTTAAACAAAGCATTATAAAAACTCATAAAATAGATTTTTTTATAAAAAAATAATTTTTTTATGAAATAAACTAAAATAAATGGGCCCTAAAAAATGGCTTTGAAAGGACTACTACTAATTAAGTCATTTTAGAAGACCATATTGAACCCCGAGTAATTTTTTCCTAACAAATCGGATAAAACGCAATGGTGACAAAATTCTATTAATGAGTTTTGAATGTAATTATGTATTTAAAGCTTGAATATGAAATCATGGATTAAGTTAACATAATATTTTACTAATTGAGTAACGAGCTAAATCCTTGTGCATACAATGAAATCACTTATGGATAATCTTTGTTTCGTTTACAAAACTACTTATTTAATCGCATATGTCTGATAATTTTTTGTGTGTGTTAAATTAAAAGAGTGAATGTTTGATTTATTAATTGCTTGTCTTGTAACTTACTCTTGTTACCATGTTGATATCTGCCGACAAGTAAAAAAGTTGGAATGAAATAGTTAAAATGAATGATACACAATATATCTCCAATCTTATTGGTGAACAAAATTTAGAAGATGTTAATTTGATTATTTTTTTAATTATGTTGGTTTAAAAAGCAGACAAATAGTTATGAAAAGAGTGAACTTGGGGATGCGGATTGAAAGGATCACTGAATTGTGATTGGAGCCCAAAATCTGAAAGTGATGTCAGGCGCCACATACATGAACTTACGTGTCGGATTGGGCCTTGTCCCCCGCTTTCCAAATTATTATTTAAGATTTTTTTTTGTTCATATGCGTGTAATCTTATTTAAGATAAGCTGTATATCACTTCCAATAAAGATTCGAATCTTATTCAAGATTATGTCCTATTGTATTGTTAACATGCCATATATATTAAGGAGAATTATATTAAATTTTTATAATATCAAGCAAGGAATTGGATTGTTGACTTAGGTTAAAAAAAAAAAATCTTGAAGAAATTCCAAGAGACATCAATCTTAATAAGGGTTTATACCCACTTAGACATTAGATATCAGGTTCTAATTAATTAATATCTTTAAAAGGGTTATTTTAATTAATAAGCATAACAATATTTGAGTATGATCTAATTAGATACTTTCTCTGTTAAAAATATAAGATTTTTTAAATTGAATCATATCCTTCAATAAAATAGTTATTTATTTTTAAATTAATTATATCTTTTCATATTTATCTTCATTAAACATCCTATAATAAATATAAAGTCATTCATTATTATCGGCATTTTTTTTAAAAAAATAATGATTACATCTCAAAAAATTAAAAATTCTTATATTTTTAAATATCTAACTTTTTAAAAAATATTTTATATTTTTAAACAAAAAGATTAATTATATATCTTCAAAATGGATAAGCCCAATACGCACATGTTTAATGTCATGAGAAATTATAATTAACCTTAATAGTTCATGAAAAAAACCCAAATAATAAAAAAAAGGGATAAAACGCACTTTTGCGTACCTCGATTTGAATATATATGTATATATGGCCATCTTGAATTCTTCATTTGAGTATTTGAATATACGCAACTTGACTGCCATTTCTGTAAACAGTGACCTATCTTCTTCTCCTCCTTCTTCTTTTTTATAATTAAATTACTAAGGCCAAATGATGCGCAAATATGCTTTTAAAATGTGTCAGATGATGATTCATAGTGATTTGACTGTTTCTCTATTATTTCGTACAAAGTATGAGGCTAGTCAAAATTATTTATGGTTGTCGTTTTTCAAAAAAAATTATTTATGGTTGTCAATTGTCAATTATTCTAGTTGCTACATCACTTGCTTTTTTTATCCTGACTTCAAGCTCAATGTTAACCTGTTGTATGCGTGTGTGAATGTATGTATTATACATATATATATATATATATATATATGTAAAAGGGTTAGGTTAAAAATAAAATTCTGGAAAAAAAATTATTTATGATTTATGAATATGAATTTTATAATATATGAATAAATTGTACAGTTACATAGTTACATTGATAGGAATCTTGCATGTCTATATATACTTAGTTGCATACATATATGGGCATATATATATATATATATTTTGCTGGACACACACACACACGAGAAGCTTGAATTAACAATATTTTCTTTTTGTATCTGTGCAACGAACAATAATTTCAAAATGTAGTGATGATTAGAGTGAAAAGAGATAATTTTTATCATAGGTATGACGCGCTCCTCGTATTATTAAAAAAAGGGAGAGGATTTTAGTTAAGGACCAATATAAATACTTAATTTTAAGTTAATTTAATAAAATTTTAAAATTTTAATTCAGTTCTTGAGAGAAAAGTTAAAAGAATTTTGATGGTGAAAAGATCAAAATATTTTTCATTTATTATATAAAATTACAGGTTGTTAATTTTCGTACTACACTTATTAATTTACCGATATCACTTATAAATTATATCCGTTTGCCTGACAATTAATAACATTAATTATTAATTTATAAATTTTACTTATTAATTTATTAACATCATTTGTAAATTATAAAACTTGTTAATTTACAATTGATGTTAGTAAATCACAAAACATAATGTCAACAATTTATACTAATGTTGGTAAATTAATAAGTAAAGTTAACAATTAAACAATTGATGTGGCTGTTTATGATTAAACAACTGATATCAAGTTTTATATAATTATTAACATATCAACTTATATAATTTGTAACTCATATATAAATTAATAAATGATGTAAGAAAATTAATAATTAATAATTTTACATAATAAGTAAATGATATTTTAATTTTTTCAACTTTTTTGACTTTTCTTTTCTGGATTGTTGAACTGAAATTCCAGAATATGTTTAGACTCATTTAGAATTAAATTTCTGTGATAATTCTTAATTGAAATTGAAAAAAAGAAAAAGAAAAAGAAGGAGTGAAAAGATAAATTCAATTAATCTCAAATTCCCCAATCCACGGACCACAGATCACAATATCCAAAGTTTCAAAATTTGCAGCCTTGCAGGTCTTGCCGTAGATTTGGACGAATCTGGATTAATTAAACCGTCCCCCTAAACTTGAAATTAGGTTCGGTATTAGTGAGAAAAAGTGAAGTTTAATTAGTTTGATCCCCGGGAGCTAGTTGGACGGTTGGACCGTCAATCAATCAATTGGAGCTGTTATTTGGGAAATTTGTCCCATAAATAACCACTCTGTGGATTGTTAATTTGGTCATTCAGAGTCAGTTTTGCTTTCCTCTTCTCAACGTCACTCACAAAACAACTATCCATAGAAAGAAAGCCAGAAATCGTTCAATAATTGTCATGTCTTTATATTGTTCAAGCTCAGGAACAATAATCCGACGTACCATCGTGGGAAAAGGAAGAAGAAACTGCGGCTTCACTCACGTAGAAGCATCGAGCTCCTCCTTCTCCTTCCATTATAAATTTCCTCATAACTTGTCGAGGCACATTGGGTTTGTATCGAAATTCGACCAGACTTGTTCTTCTTCTTCCGTGATGGAGGAGGGCAGCAAAAACCTGGGTTTTGTGTCCGAAGCAGAGGAATATTCTAAGGAATTGGATGTTGCGGTCAGAGCGGTTCAGATGGCTTGCTCCCTCTGCTCGAAAGTGCAGGAAAATTTGATTGTTAAGTCCAAGAGTGACAGTCAGGTCCATTCCAAGGACGACAATTCTCCAGTCACTATTGCAGGTATATGTTTCTAACTCGGAGAATTGCTTTGAAGTGTCGTTTCTGATCCTTGATGGCACAGTAATTTCTGAGTTACCTCAAAAGATGTTCTGTGATAAGCTAATGGGTTCAATTCAACCCGTTTTGGTGCTTTGAGTTATTTGGATTTGTGTATTGTAGTATTATGTTAGGTTACGAGAAGTTTGGTGTAGACGGGGTTTCTGTAGCATGCAAGAGCAGGGACCTTTAGTGACTTGTGTGCATACTAAGCCAAACACGTGTTACTTGATATTCCGAAAGTTTTATAATCAGTTTTTGGATAGAAGAAAGAAGTTCCAAAATTGCATTCATACTGAGCCTGTTTATAATGGGATATAAATTGTTTATTTGTGGTCAGAAGTAAAAGAGAAAAATGAAAACCTTGTCTGCTACTTAGGGACTAATAATCAAATGAATTAAAGAGTTAATCTTCTGTCTTCTAAACTGTTTTGAAGTCAAAGTCAAAATTATTGGCTCGGAAACTGAATTATATGTGGAGGTTTCCTGGGTTTTAGAGAGTTCAAGTTCCAATAGAGGGGGGAAAATTATTGGTGAAACCAGCTGACTTCAAACTCTTTTCCTGGGGTATCTTGAGTAAGGCGATTGATAAATGTTACACCTTCCTTATTATTTTTCTGAGATATCTATAAAGCAGTTCTTATCATGATAACATGTCGCCTATTTTAGAACCTTGTGTTGTAATTGTCCTTTATGTGTGAAGAAGTCCAAGAAAAGCTAACTGCTTCATCTATATTGTCAAAAAAGGCAAAGGAGTATAGCAAAAAAATTCACAGGACAAAACAGGATGCTTAATACAAAATAACTCTTGCATGTCTGCCAAGAATTCTCGCTTTGCTGCATAAAAGCAAGGCCATAGATCTCCTGGTCACACCAAAGACCATACTTGCTTGCTATGATGAAATTTATCCTGTGTGCTTTGTTTCTCTTATTTTACAGTTTAAACATGACGGCATGATTGATCGGACTTTTTCTGTCAGCTAGTTGTATATAATTTCATACTAAAGGTATTGATCATTTTGGACTCTTTCATCATCCCTGGTACTCAGATTGGAGTGTCCAAGCAGTTGTCAGCTGGATATTGTCAGAGTGCTTAGGAAGTAAAAATATCTCAATTCTTGCCGAAGAAGATGTTGAAACTCTCTCCAAGACTAGTTCTTCTGGGCTGCTGGAAGCTGTGGTTAAGACTGTGAATGAATGTCTAGCTGAGGCGCCTCAATTTGGAGTTGAAGCCCCAAAATCAGCTCTTGGTGCTTCTGAGGTTCTTGAAATCATCAGCCGCTGCAACTCGGTTGGTGGTCCTACTGGAAGATTTTGGGCGCTCGATCCTGTTGACGGCACACTGGGGTTTGTACGTGGAGATCAATATGCCATAGCTCTTGCACTCATAGAGGATGGAGAAGTAATGCTTGGAGTTCTTGGGTGTCCTAACTACCCAATGAGAAAGGAATGGTTAACCTATTCTCATCGCTATCATCGGATTATATCCAAGCTGACTCCTCCAACATCTGAAACATGGGACAAAGGTTGTGTTCTATATGCTAGAAGGGGAAGCGGCGGGGCTTGGATGCAACCACTGGTCCAGTTTAATAAGAAGTTTGTATGGCCAAATTATGCAAAACAAGTGTCAGTTTCTTCCATTGACAATCCTTCGTTGGCAACTTTTTGTGAACCTGTTGAGAAGGCAAATTCAAGCCACTCTTTCACTGAAGGACTGGCCCATAGTGTTGGTCTCAGGTACATTTCTTTTCCTCCCAATTGGCTTTTTTTTAACTGTGGGATTTTCATAGGCTCTATGAAGACATGGGGGCACATGATTTATTTATTTCCTATGCTCTTGTGATCTCTCAGAATATTCATAGTAACTTGGTATTAAATGCATCATGGCAAGCAGAGAAGCAGATAATCTCTGTCTAGATGTCATTCATCAATCATTCAAACACTTGTATGCAGGAAGCAGCCATTGAGAGTGTACAGCATGGTGAAATATGCAGCGATAGCTCGTGGGGATGCCGAGGTTTTCATGAAGTTTCCAAGGTCTGGCTATAAGGAGAAGATATGGGATCACGCAGCTGGTGTTGTCATCATCCAAGAGGCAGGTGGCGTGGTGACAGATGCCAGAGGCCGACCGCTAGACTTCTCAAAAGGTGCATTTTTAGAAGGTCTTGATCGGGGAATAGTTGCTTGTGCTGGAGCCTCACTGCATGAAAAGATCATAGATGCTGTTGATGCTAGCTGGGGTTCCTCTTGCCTTTGAGGCTGTTATTATAAGTCTAATGTACGCATACAGAGAACGTACTAAGATTATTTTAGCTTTCCTTTTTCCTTCTTAAGCTTTTGCAGCATCAGATAAAATCAGCCTGGTTTCACTTGTTAGCGTTGTTGCTGGTGTCAGTTTGTGAATGAATCTGCAGTTTCTGTGGGTTGGCATGATATGAATAATAATGAAGTTACTGTAAATTTATAATTCCATTTCTTTCTGAGTTCTGAATGGCATAAACTTCGAACATCTTTATGAAGATGGATTAATGGACTTGTATACCATTGAAAATCTATCCAATATCTTCATTTCCTAGCAGTAACCAAGTTACCAAGACTTTTCATGACAGACAAAAACCCAGCCTGTTGCTGCAATATAGGATTAAGAGAAAGATGCTTCAAAAGATCAACTAGGATTTGAAATAATACTGATATAAAAACGACACTACAACATTACAGAAATTTTCATTCAGGGGAGAGAGAAGGCACTAATTTCATGGTCTATATAGATATATCATAGATAGACCTACTCGGTGAGCCAATTCATTTTGAGTTCGGATATTTGGATACAGTGAGTAAGACAACTGTATCGAGCAAAATAATAGATGGGTTTCACAAAGAAATCATAAAGTAAACTTTCATGAATAAATGTCCTACATTTGATCTGCACAATCTTATCAGGTTTCTGGGAAAGACAAGTATTTGAATTTGAAATGAGTAGATAGATGGTGAGGGGGATTTTTCTTCCTCAGGAGAAACAGAGATCAGAAAAAGTCAAAACCTTCATTTATGGGAGTGACTGAGCAGTGTTGTGTGACGCAGCATTGGGATAGAATGGGCGATGCCTTGCAAGTCTTAATCTTCAGTTGACGGACATGAAGGAGGGAGGCTGATGGGTGGGTAGGTGGCTGCATGAATATATGGTGGATGAGGGGATTCAATATTCATTGTCATCTATGCAATTCATAATTCAGATGTGGGCCCGTCCTGTCAATGATGCTTCCTCCTTTTAGTTTTCGACCAATTCAATGCTGTTTTTTTCCCCCAAATATGATATCTAGATTATTTATATTTAGTTTAAATAATAATTTAAATTTGTTGCGTGCCACTCTTTGATGGGTAAGATGAACTCTTAATGTCAAAAGTTGATTTTATTGCCAACAAGTGTTTAACTCAAGATCAAGTTAGGACCCCCTTTTTTTTTCTTTTTCTTTTTTTTAAATATGGTGACATACCCAATGAAGAAATTAATAAAAGCACCCGAGTTATGCATCTACTTAGGATTGATAACACTTCAATATGATTCCAATGACAAATTGTTGTATGCGTGTGTCCATATATATATATATATATATAAAGATATGGTGGAAGATAAATGACCAGCTTTTTTAGTGCAATTATCAAAGGAAATAGTCTCTTCCGGCCTAATTAAAGGATTTCTACCACTCCTAAGTATAAAATCTCAATCTTATCTCTATCATTTGATTTTTTTTAATCACATTACCATAATTAATTTCACTTTTTTCAAGGGAAGTGATACACATTAGTATAATGAGATATAACCAACTTAATTAATTTAGTTAACCCATCTTATATTTAGGAATGGAAGGAGTAGAACCACAAATTGGAATCATGTTTCTTTTTTTTATTTTTTGACCAAAGAAATTGGAATCATGTTTCAAAATGAAGAAAAATGTTTGCATGTGGATCCCATGAATCCATTGTAAAGTCAAAAATGAACAAGCGTTTGCTGAAAGATTGGCATATTCTGTGATGCAAGATGAAAGAATGAAGAAATTTCTTTACTCAACTTTTTGAAATCCACATAGTTAATTATCTTGCTTTTTTATTGTCGGAGCATGGAGAATTTGACAAAGTTTTAAATTCCCTAACAAAAACAACAGTAGTTTCAATTCACCGTATAAAGTACTATCAGCTAAATACTGCCGGCGATTTTAAATTAATTTTATCACTATTATTTGCGAGCCTAATCCTTTTGTAATTGGGCTTAAAAGCCCAATACTTAATTCATTCTCACCATAATTTTAAAGGCTAAAGAGATTAGTGGGATGCTAGCGAATCATTGCTACATTTGTTACTTCATGGAGTGAAATAATCATATTTAGTTGGATGATAATACCCCTGACAAAAATATATAAAATATGTTTTGCATGTGCTATTGGATTAAAAAAATAACAAAAATATCATTAATATTCAGTCTCAAGTTTTTATTAACTGCAGACTCCAGAATTCAATCATCATTAATAAATGCCCTCCGACCTCAACGCTGAAGTAGGGTTTGGTTATCGCTTTTTTAAAAAAAAAAAAAAATTTGGGTCAAAATTGGTTATGCGTTGTTTGATGCAACTGGGTTTGAAAACGTGTCCCGAACATTAATTCTTGACAAGAACAGTGGCAATTAAGTAATACTCCGACCCCGTACTACAGTTGTTCTTTTTTCTTTTTAATATTTTAGAGATATTATTCCCCCTTGATAAGATTTGATGACTCCAATTAATCCGATATTTATGGAATTATTATTCATGAAGTGATACTTCCACTCCCACCGTTTTTTTTTTACTATGGTTATCTATATTGTGAAATTTAATTGGTGGTAGTTTATCTTTCCCAAAATTAATTTAAAATATTTTATTAGTAAGCTAAGTAATTTGTGAATGCCTTAAAAATGTTTTTGAGCTAAAATCTACTTTGTCCTTGATCATCCTTTAAACAAATTAGGGAGAATGACAGCAAAGTATCAAAAGAGAGAGTTAATAATAATAATTAGATTATCCATAATTTTTTAAAAAAAATAAAATACAAATATTAATTTAGACAATTACAAGTATGAATTTCAATATTTATACATTGAGAATTACATTTATAATTTAAATTTCTTATTTATAATTATTTAAACAATACTTACAATCCATTTTTCTGAAAATTTGGTAAGCGACCAAACTATTATTATTAATTTAGTTTTTTGAGACTTAACTATTATTTTTTAAAAAATTTAACTCACCAACACCATTTCTTAGCGCAACATTTGAACGCCAAATGAAAGGGGATTAGCAAGATAAGCAAACGTAATTGAAAGCTTTGAATTGATTGCATCATTAATAAAAGTAGGCATAATATTTATTGTTGCCATGTTATGCTTTGCTTCTCTCTAGAGTGTGCTTTTATGAAAGTTAAGGATGACACGTGCAAGGTGGCTAATCGCCACATGTTTTGCTCCCCTCTCTCTCTACACATAATTAGGGAGAGAATAATTTTTTTCTGTTATTAAATTTTTATTATAAATTTTTTTATCCAATAAATATTGATAAGAGAAATTATATTATTAAAATATATAATTTAATAGAAACAAATTTAAAATTAAAAAAAATTTAAAAACTTGATAATTTTAAAAAAAATTGTAAATTTTAATTTTTTTTATTTCAATAAAACATGTTCGCAGTAAGTTATAGATACAATGGGTCGCTCAATTACTGATTGCGAAAACTTAGTCAATCCCTGTGGGGCCACCTGTAAACCAAAGTTGACAAGTTATTCATGTAATTACACGTACAGATACAATCGAAAAATTACGGATGCGTGAAATTTAAGCCCTTGCTCCCTCCGTCCTTATTAATGCAGATTTGAAATATTCATGTAATTCTATTCTAAACTATAAAATATTTTAAGATAAAACTACAGATATCAATAAAATTTATTAAATGTATTTTATAATTTTATTTTTAAGATAAAAGTATAAATTTTCAAAAATTTTATTTATTTAATATTTCATTTATAAAATAATATTAAAGAAAAAGAATATAATGAAAACAATAGTATTAAAAAATATCATTAATGTAATTTTTTTTGGCAAAGTATCTTATATTTTCATATATCAAATCTTTTTTAAAAAATATCTTATAATTTGAAACAAAAAAGTAAGATTTATTAGAAGTATCTCCCTAAAATAAAAGATCAAGTTAAAAAGCAAGGATTAGGAATTTTAATAACTTTCAAGGAAGATGTAAATATTTGGAAAAACAAAAAACAATGAATGATGTAAATAATAAAAGTTCATCTACTTGATACGTATATGATTCATGATCTACAAGACCATAGATTTAAGTCATGTTATTAATGTCAAAACTTTAAAGGTGGGTGATCTTTTAAATACCCCTAGGAGAACTCTTCATGCTTAAAGTCAAGCCCTGATCTTAATAAATTTTTGAGATCAAGTCATCTAGATTTCTTTTTGGATAAAAAATAACTTAAGCAGATATAGGTTGAAAAGCAGCACTATTACATAGTGTAGTGGTTGTCGATATCTGATAGGGTCCCATGACATGAAAAAGGAGGAACGCAAAATCAAGAGAACATCAGGGGCATCAAATTAAATAAGTATTACTTTCTAATTACCAAAACATATTCATTTGGATTTCAGTTGGTATAATAAATTATAAAAATAATTGATTAAGTGATAGATTTTAATCATAATTGATTATATTATAACGCAATCTATTTGGATACTCATGTTAATAATTTTTTTAAAGATTCAAATTTTATTAAGAAAAAAAAAGAAGAGAAAAAATTTTGTTTTAGTTTTATTAAATTTTGTGCTTTTTTTGTGATTTTTTTCTTGGACTTTTTATGTAATTTGCTCATATAACTTTGTAACAAAAAAATGCAAAAGCGGAGAAGCTGAGATTTGGAGTGTTGGGAAAAAATTAATTTTTTGAGAAAAATTGATTTTGAAAAAAAGTGAATGTTTGGATAAATTATGGCTTAATCGATTTTTTTGCCCCTAAAATCGATTAAATCCTGAATCCAAACAGACAGATAAATAATATCCTACATTGGGAGAACCGAAAAATGATATTTGAAGTTATCACAAGCAAAGTTAAGATTGAACTTTTAATAACATTTACATTGGGATAAATTTTTTTAAAAGGAATTTAAATATCATCCCCCCTATATATAATCTCCATTCTGGCTGGTGATGTCGCACATCATCAGGATATTTGACTTCCATCTTACAAGTGTCCCTCCATTACTTTCAGAGGTAGTAGTGTCATTATTTGTCACTTTGCCGATTCTCGTGCTGCATCATCCATCTGTAATCCCAAAACACTCATCTCTCTCTCTCTCTCTCTCTCACTCATATTCTGAGATGTCAACCTTATAACGGAATAATTTAAACTGAAGAAATTATCGTCAGTGGCACCAAAACCATGCATAAGTTCACCTCAAAACATGACCATACGAACTAAAGCTAATGCTATAAACCATAATCTTAACAGAAATCTGCCATGTGCAAGGAAAAACTCAAAGCACAACCAGAATGGGAGGAGCTGTAGCAAAACTAAAACCTTTACACCATTATTACAACTTACGTATATCAGAAACTAAACCATGAACTATATATCATCCACATAAACCAACAAGGAAAAATAAATGACATGCCTTACGTCGCACATGATCCAGCTTCACATGTCAATCCGTTTTTGGTAATGGTACTTTAATGTTGGGAAAATCACACTGAAGGACTTCTAGAAACTGACAATAGCACCAAAGAATTTTAGAATTCTGATATTCCATTATACACTTATGGCACCTAAATGAAATAATCTTTGATTGCAAAAGGACCATATTACCCCCTAATATTAGGAGGATAAACCGACCTTGGTGCTGTGGAAATCTAGAGTTTCACACGTCTTTCAGTGCGATTTTCCCATTAATATTCCAATGGAGAGAGAGAGATAGGTAAAAGCAAGTATCATAATTGCATCCCACCAACTTCAAAGATCATAAATCTCTAGCAACTGTCATCCACACCCTCCCAATAAATGTTTTGCAGACTCTTTTCTTAATCACCCCACTAGCCATCACATTCATTTATTATATATATAATATCACCACGCACTCCACTCCACTTTCTCATATAACACAAACTATATCACAACGTTGGTACTCCAAAAATGAAAATCACCATCGCCACCTTCGTCTTTCTGGTCCTCTTGTTTGTATCTTCCTTCGGTCTGGCGGCCCGACCCGCTTCTGATCGCTTCAAGGGGAGCAGCAACAAAGGAGGAGGAGGGGATAGCTATGGCGGAGTGGGCGGGTTCTTTGGGCCCGGGTCCGGGTTTATTCCTGGATTTGGGAAAGGGTTCGGGGATGGGACCGTGGGAGGAGGATATGGGGCGGGTTATGGAGGTCCGAATGGAGGCTACTCCAAAGGTGGCGTCATAAGACCGAGCGTAGTGTGCAAAGAGAAAGGCCCTTGTTACCAGAAGAAGGTCACGTGCCCGGCCAAGTGCTTCTCCTCCTTCAGTCACTCCGGTAAGGGATACGGCTCCGGCGGCGGCGGCGGCGGCTGCACCATCGATTGCAAGAAGAAATGCACCGCTTCTTGTTGAAGGATAGGCCTCGCTAGCTAGGCCGGCTCGCTTATATGTGGCAATATCGTAGTAAGTTACATGCCTTACATGCCTTATCAGTACTCGATTAGGCTACTTTATCTATCCTTCTCCTTCTCTCTCCCTCTCTTTATATAATATATATATATATATATATATATATATTTATAGGTTGGCTTGTTTTGGGGTTTTGCTTTTGATTATCTATGTAGGAAGATGAGAGCTTATGTGTGGTGACAGAGAGGGTTTGTGGACTCATTTGTGCCTATGATAAATTATATTAAAGGAGTAACTTTATGTTATTTATTAATCTGCTATTGCATCTCTCTCTCTCTCTAACGGCAAGACAAAACAGTAAATTGATTATACATAAATATACAGACGGAGTCTTAAACGATATATATATATATATATATAAGATGTTGAATTGTTATAAAATCTCCTCATCGTTCTGGTCATGTTCCAGTAGATATATCAGTGTCTGTTTGGATACTGAGTTAGAATCAATTATATGAACAAAATGATTGTTTTGCTAAAAAATTTCAAACACCCCCATTTCTTTATAATCAATTATTGAAAATCAAACTTTGTTTTTCTTATAAGCTGCTTGAGGTACCTTATCAATTTTAATTTTACTGTTACTTTCATTTATTATTTGTCAGAAACGTCAGCTGCCCTAATATATCCCAGCCCTTGCCGGTACTTGCTTCTCTGGCTGGCTTATTTACAGTTAATCTGTGAACCCATTAGTCTATGAGTCAAACTTGGGAGCAGCTTTTATATTTCTGTAGCTAAATTCTCACTTCGAAAAAAAACTCCCGTAACATTGCAATTAAAATAAATTGGAATAACACGTTTGTTAATCAACTCCTATATCATATCCCTTAAATTAAGCATCATAAATTTAAGAATTATATATTTTTTATTAAATTTATTTAAATTTAAATATATTAATTTATTTTGACTAAGGTATAAATTTAATTATTTAACTAATGTTTTATTTTAATTTTTTAATTTTATAAGGTGTTTTTTTATCCTTTAATCTTAACTGTATTATTTTTATCCTAATAAGTTTTTATATTAAAATTTTAAATATTAATAAAATATTTTTAAATATTGATATGTTAAGTTTAATTTTTTTAAATAATAATAATTGATAAAAAAATAATCATTTAAAATTAATAATTTTAGAGTTAAAGAATTAAAAAAATATTTTATAAAATTAAAAGATCACTTTTATAATAATTTTTACATTTAAAATTAATTTAATTAATTAAATCATTCAAATATGTTCAATTATGTTAAAATTAATTAAAAAATATCTAAACCTGATCTTCTTATAATTTATTATACTAACTCTTTTGTGGTATAACGAAGATTGGAGATCCGTATGGGGCAGAGAGGTTAGGTTCTATGGTTGGATGGGAAGGCCAAAATTTTTAGTATTTTGGTAGATGGCATGAGAGCCCTTGGCTTTAACGTGCGGATTAGCTTGCTTATGATGCACCAAACGATATTACAATATTTGTTGATTCTTTCTTAGGATATAAAAACGTTATTTGCTTTGACATGAAGTGATTGTCTAGTACAGTTTTTCCATAATCTAACTTTTTCCCTTCTTCTGCACACTGAATTAGAATATATATAAATATATATATGCAGTTGGTTTTTTTTATAAAATATTAATTATTTAGTTTTTATAATTTTGATTCAATTATTATTTAGATCCTAAATTTTGATTCATTGGAACTCATTTCTTAAAGTTTTGGCTCAATAATTGTAATTTAATTCATAAATTTTAATTTAGTAAAATTCAATCCTTATAATTTTAATCATTTAAAATATTAGTGTTTATATTTTAAAAATAAAATTAGAAAGATTAAATCTTAATAATCTTTATCAAATTAAAAATTTTAGTAATTTTAAATTAGTCCCTAAATGTTAACATAATTTTAATTTTTAAAATTTTATTTTCAAGATATAAGATTTAATATTCAAAATGGTTAAAACTATGAAAATTGAATTGTACTAAGTCAAAGTTCAAGAATTGAATTTCAATTGAATTAAAACTATAAGGATTAAGTTATGATAAGTCAAAGTTTAAAAATTAAATTATAATTGAGTTAAAATTATAGAGATCAAATAATTAATTTTATTTTGTTTTTTTAAGAATGAACAGAACATGCTCTTTATTTTTAATATATTATGTACATGATATTATTATGTAAATTGTGTTTTGATCTCGATGCTCAAATTCATATCACGTTATCTTGAAGCAAACCCAAATCATGATGGATTAACCATAAAGTTGGAAGGTCTAAATTTTAGTGAGGCTGTTGGCTGAAAAAAGAAAGTTAGAATTAGGTCAAATTAACCAAACTTCGCCCCCTTTTTTTTAGAAAAGAGAGTGCCTTGCACATTTGTTCCCTTTACTTTCTGTGTTTCCAAAAATTCTGTTGAGCAGATCCGATTAGCAATTAGTGTCTTGGGTGAAGTCATTGAACATTTGTGGTAGGTCCCATGGAAGGTACAGGAGAGATGTGATTTTTTAATGGAAAAAAGAGAGAAAGATTTTGAGGAAAAGAGGAAGGCAAGGGATTTTTAATATGAAAAATATTATAAATGAAGATCTCCAAATATTGTAAATAATTAATAAGGACTATGAAATTATGAAATTAAATTTTAGAACCATATTTCTTTTTTTGTGCTTTCAAAAATAATGTTAGTTACTAATATGTCGCGATTTACAATTGGCATCTTAAATTAATCAGTGCTGAAATCAGCTTAATTAAATTAAAAATTTAATTGAAGGGAATCGTGAATTCACTTTATTTGAATTTCTTCAAAAAGTTATTCCCAAACTAACAAACGCGGTAAAATTGTTTTCAAAATTTTTAAAAAATTATAATCATGAAATACAAATTCATGATACTAATAAGTTATTTGTAATATTTGGAAATCTTTATTGTAATTTTCCCTTTTAACAATCCTTTGCTTGCTTTGATTGAATAAGGAAGGAAGAAGTTTTAACAATCTCTACAAATCCCCCGTTTTTCTATGGGAGGGTCAAGAAAGGAAAAATTCATTAAAAATTCAAAATTCCCCGCCCTTTCCATTTTTTAAACTGAACAAAAGTATTATTTTATTTAACCAAACAAGGAGAGAGCAAAAGTCCTCCTCTTCCCTTTAAATTCCTCCAAACCAAACATAACACAATAATGTTTAGACCTTGGTTTGGAAATGTTATAAAGAGGTGAGAACCAACAAAGAATAGAAAAGAAAAGGGCACAAAAGTAAATACAGCTTTAGTCAACAACAAACGAATTTATAGCAAGTTTCCACCAAGCGTTTAGGTATGAATCTGCATGATGATGATTATAATTATAAGCTAACAAACCACATATTAAAGCATGAAAGAGGCCAAAGAAGGAAACATGTTACAAACAAAATTCACGCTCAACACTACTTTGTACCCGCAATTCCTAAGGCTACTAATTTACAACATGGATATAGCTAGATTAATGCATATATGCAAAAGACAAGCATTCCCAATACAGAGAGAATCATCACAGTGCAGCCCTCATTGCTCCTCTTGCAGCCTCCCGTTTCATCTCAGCAGCCTTTCCACTGCCACGGAAGTACATATAAACTTGCTGTGTACACAACCAACAAGAAGCTGTTAGGGTCAAGATTCTATTCTATCACCATGAAACTACAGGGTAAATGTTTTAGTTTTCAAGTGTCAGATGTAACCTGAATGACCCAAATGCTGATCAATGATTCAATGCAGAATAATCCAAATCCAACGAAGTAGAAAATCTGGAAACAAAATGAACAAAAGAAAAATGAATGAATGATCGTTCAAAAGTGGAAAGAATACGTTCCTTGGTTCCCGCATTATCTGCAAGAGACTATGTTACAAGGCTCTTTTTTGCTACGATGAATTGATTATCTACTCTAAAAGTCTAAAACTTGTTTTAAATAATGCTTAACACAGGACTAAGAAATAAGAAATGCTTCTGCACAAGTATCTACTTACTCCAATCAAAACATTGTCACCGATCACATCTATTGCAGGCAGAATACCTCTGCACCAATGAGTTTAAAGAACAACATCAGATTAAAACAGAGAAAAAACAAACAAAAGCGGTTTACCTGATTTATCTTATATCAAGTCATGTTAAATCAAATTTGTAGGCAGTTTTCTTTTGATGTGTTGTGTATGTGTGTAGGTAACAGATAAAATTTCACAATTAATCTTTGCTTCTGCAATGTTCAAGAATTTAGAAAATATATTTTAAAGGGTCGACATACGTCAGGGATTTTCCTTTGAAGACAACAGGAGGAGCAACTGCAGCAAATATGCAAAATCCAATGTGAATCTGCAACCAGAAAAAGGAACGAGGATAATTAGCTTTTCTGTTTTCCCTTTCTTATTTTTTAAGTTTCTGTGGGTGTTGAGCATAATCATTTTACCAGGTAGAACAGAAAAAACCATGCAAACTTCATAGCACCTTCAGTCCTGGAAAAATAATAAAGAGCAAAAAACATAAACTGAGTGAAGCATGAAATCAAAACCAATGAAGTGTCCCGAATGTGGTATTTTGAATTCCATGGAATTTATGATGCAAGAAATTTGAGCACCCGCAAATTCAAATTCTCAGCATTTTGAACATCCACTCATGTAATTATACATTATACACATGGATATGCACGCGTGCACGCACAGACACACTGTGCACACGCGCAAGCAGACACACATGCATCCACTTCAACACAGTTTCTCACAAACATTTCCCAGAGTGCAACAAAAAGTAAAGATGCATGAAATTAGCTGTTCCATCAAAATTCAAAAACAACTGAACGCATGAAACACATGAAATAAGTACCTGCAAGCACGATACAATGGGCGATACCATAGGAAGTAAGCTCCAGGAACCCCTGCTATGAAGTAGATGATAGAAAGAAACCAGATTTTTACACCTACAACAAGCAAGGAGAGGTTCAACATCACGGAATTTGAAAACGTGAGATTTATTGTTCCAGCTGCGGAATAACCTGAAACTAGCTCCTTGTTCCACATATAAAATAAACTAACCTTCACCCTTAATCCAAGCTGCAGTGACAGCTATGATATTCCACAAAAGGCACAGCACCAATCCTGTATCACATCATTACTTGTCATTAAATATGGGCTATTATTCATGCCAGGCTAGAATTTCAAATCAAACAGGAAAAGAAAACAAGGCATCGGTCTCTAACTATTTATTTCAATGCATTTTAGTTCTCTTTGAGCTTTTACTTTTCAAACAATACTTAAAGTTGTGTTTTAGAAGGAAAGTATAATTTAATTACTAAAATCAGCCCAGGAAATAAAGATTTAAATTAATCACTGAGCATAAAGAAACTTCTCCTCCTAACTTCTCGCACAAAACTTTAAGATTTACAGAGTAGAAGCTGGTGAGGTGTGTGGGTTTTGCAATCCTTTAGCTGGGGAAAAAATAACTAGAGATAGCTTTACCCAATAACCCTCAGACTTTGTTGGCATGTATAGATGCAATATTAAACAAAAAAAGTTCCAAGAAAAGCTTTTTGAAAACAGGAGCTTTCCCAAAGTATATTGTTCCTTGAAGTTCCTATGGAAGCAGTTTTATACATTACACAATCATGATATTCAAGTGGTAAAACATAGTTGGACAAGTAAACAATGTCATGTTTGTAACAAAGAATAAAAATAATAGAATGAAAATACCGTACCTAACAATGTAGTAAATGCAACATACTGCAGTCTTTGGAGATGAATTGGTATTTCTTTAGCAATATCATGATGGATAATTGGGAAAAATGGTGGCCAGTTCTTCTCCTCAAGAACAATGCCAGCTGCAAAACAAAAATTGACTCATTACTGACTGCAAAAATTGGCCCCACAGATAGTACTTTTTGTCCAAGCACAAAAAGTACTACTGCAAAGTTTTCTAAAAGATGACTTAGCATATAGACCATCTTTAAAGACACCTGCATAGCAAGCAGAAATATGTTTCTCTGCATGGGCAGCGCTGCATAGAAGTTTTTTTTTTTTTTTGGGGGGGGGGGGATGCACCCCTTGGACTTAGGAAAAATTACATCAATGGTTCATATGTCAAAACATTTTGCACCCCTAGGCCCAAGTATCTTGCACCCTTAGTCCAACTTTAAAGATGTTTGGATTCCAAAAAAATTTAGGCTCTCTTGAAGTTAGGAATGATATTATTGATTGCCACAGCAACAGTTAAAAAAGCCTTTTTTGCTAGATATTTGTGAAAAATCAACTGCGGAATGTATGGGAGATCCATTGATGAATAACTATCTAGTGACTTTTATTGAAAAAGATATTTTCCTTAACATTGACAATGAGATGATTGCTTAATGACCCATAACATGGAGCCATGCACGGTATAATATATTTTTTAAAAATTATTAAATCATTTTTAAATTATTAATTTTAAAAATGTTGTAACCCATGACCCAGGGTCTTGGCACCGCCTCTATTTCTCTGGGCTGTTTCATACAAAATGACACCAATAACCGTATGAAATATAAGGACCAATAAAACAGTTGTAGAGTGTACATTAGGAAAACAATGAACCCTATTTGTTTGGTGGATTACAACAGACGAGGAACATAGGAAACTTTTCTTTCAGCTTATATTCAATAATGCACAATCAACCCTTTTTGTCTCCTTTAAGATCCAAAACTGAATAATCTCTCTCTACCATAAATTTCTACAAACCAGAAGTCCTTCACTGAAGATAAATGTGTGACCCCATGATATATATCCAATCTCTGCTTAGACTATTTAATTAACAACAGGAAACTAAGGACTCTTGAGAATTTCCAAGTAAATAATGTGGGCTGGTGAAAGCAACATAAGTCACGTGGTCAGCAACAGTAGTTTTCTTCCACCGTTTAATTACATGCCAACATAAACAGTAAAATCAACATAAACAAAAAAGAATCCCAACCGAAACACAATGCACATTTAAGATTTAAAATAAACAGAGTGAAACTGCTCCAACAAGCCCAGAATGAAGCAATCTACATCTTGAAGCTCAATAGTCTGAAATATTTAAACAAGGAAAGTAAATTACCTCGAGCAGCAGCTTCCTCTTTACGTCTTACTTCCTGTATTTTAATAGATAAATAAACAGTTATGAAAATAAATGAGAAAAAGAAAGATATAATTTGAATTTCCAGTCTCATTAATTAATAAGAAAGTCAGCAGACAAGACTTTTTTTTTTTTTTCTCTTTTTGGGGAAAGAATACCAATTAGATGCATATCCAGTTTAAAAGAATGGAATGAAGCATTTTCATGGATATGCGAGGCTTATATTATGGACTAGCCTGCTTTCATATCATGAAAATTTCACACTTCCTAATTAAGCCATACTTTGGGGGGAAAGAAGTAGTAGTAGTAGTAGTAATATCCACCAAGACCAGTACTGATCAGAGATAGAAGAAATTTTGATAGATAGAAGAAAAAAGAAAGATCATATTTTGAAAGATAAAAATGCCCTCTCCTAAGAAAATGTTGTAAGAGAGGGAGGGGAGAAGAAAAGAAACAAGGAAACAAAATAACATATACGACAAAATAGTGCCCCAGTCTCATTGAATATAAAGTAAGGGAACTCCCATCAAAACGTCAAAAGCTTCCACCGGGGTAAAAAAAGCAAAGCAAATGGCACACCTGCTCCCTCCTTTTCAATTCAGCCTCCTTCGCTTGGAGTTCCTTCTCCTTCTTTTTTAAATCCTGGTGGTGAAAAAGATGATAATGAGAAAAGCCCACAGCAGTTTCTCAGCAACACAAATTAGAGAGTAACGGATGGAAAGAGAGGGATGAGGTTTTCAACAATATCAATTTTATTCATACCGTTGATGCATTATCAAGAGGTATATCAATTGTTGTGCCAAAGCCATAATCAGCAGGTTCTGGATTAAGAGGTGCAAGCCTAGAATTCGCGGCAGGGGCAACGCTTCCAGGATTCTAACAACGTAACAAAAATAAGTTGCATGAGATACAGGCAAGCAGCTGGAAGCCTTTCACAGGGCTTTTTTATCCATTATAAAGGATTGGTTGAGAAATAGAACATTTCAAAACAGCTAGGGTACATATAGAGTCAGAAAACATTTAATGACTGCCCCGATACTTTGCAAAGGATGAAAACAAGATAAGTCATAAATGGGAATAGTTAAAAGGGAGGAAAAAAGGGTGAGGGGGACCTCAAAAAATTTGAACAGTTAAGATTGTTCATTTGTTCCTCTTTTGCACCATCACCAATGGTTTTGATTTTTAAAGCTTAAATAAACAACACTGTGCATGGGTAAAATCATTTATTGGCAGCCTTCAATTTATAAACTCACAGTTGTGTAAAATGCACCCCCACCATAGTTTGACTGGTTCGATGCTTTTCCCCTAACTGCTGGGTCCTGCAGGTTTATATCACAGAGGAATTTGCATGGGCATCAATTCATTTTAGATCAACAATATCCTTTGCAAATGGAAAATTATACTAAATATTATTGTCTACTAAAAAAATAATATCTAGCACTGCATCTGAAGTAGTAAAACCTCCACTCTCCATAAGCTATACCTATCTACCTTTGGTGCTTTGGATTAATGGAACCTTGTGAAATTTATGAGCAATCAAATTTAAGTAGATGTTATATTGTTAGATAACGTGGTGAGCACAAACGCTGGACAACAATAGCCCAACAGTGATTGAAAAATTGAAAACTCATCATATCGGAACTGGCTACGCCAACAGCCCAGAAGTGGTAAATAAGTCGTAAACCAGCAAATCAAACACCTCAAAGCATTTTTCTGCTCATATGATATTGTTAAGTGTTCAAAATATAGATTATTTGTCCATCAGCTATACCAAATCTAAGACTTCCACAAAAATACAGAGTTAAGCTTCAACTGAGTGATCATGTATACTTTTCATGAACTTTACAACTACTCCAAAGGTACACTCCGTCACTGGGCAATGCCTCGCACTCTCTTTTCATATCATTGTCAGACGAGCATGATCATAAATCAATAATCGACGATAAATCTTAAATTATAGCTAGCTTTTATCATGCGAATAAAATTTGAAACTGGCGTGATTGATTATCTCCATGATGCATCACCGAAACATCTTAAACATTGACGACGACAGCAAGTCAAACCACAGTCAGGTAAAACCGCAAGTTATGAACTTAATTCCAAAGTCACCATCTCGAGGGCACAAACTTTAGCCGAAAACACTAAATCCAAAGCGAATACCAGATGAAACAAAACAAGACATAACTTGATCGATATCAACATACACTGCCCAAATATACGTCATCAAACAAGTCAACCTTTACTCAATTAAAAGAACACCAAAAGCCAAAATCTCCAAGTATGTCTATCCACTGTTCCAAACTCCAAAAAAAAAAAATCACACAAAGAAAGCCACACAATTCAAAAACAAGTCCACCAGAAAAGCAGAAATAGACGAGGATGAGGGAGAAGAACTTACAGAGAAGGGATTAACCTCTTCTTCGTCGAAGGGGTTTCTGTCATAGCGACCAGCCATCAGAAAAGGTTAACCGTCACAGGCACCAGTCCCAAGAATCGGAAGTTAAAAAGGCAAAGATCAGGAAGTTTGCAGAGGAAATAAAATCAGAAGGCTCAAAAGGCAAGGCTTTAGGAATGTTGAGATTTGGAATTTTGGATTTCTTCTTCGGCAAGAGAAAGGTCAAAAGAAGAAGGCGTAAGAAGGAAATCAATTTCTAGCAACAAGATGAAATGTCTTTGGTCAGCAACAGCAAAATACACATTTCACGAAAATACAACAACGGAAACAGCAGGGGAGCGAGAGCCCTCTAATTTCAACTTCGGCCTTGCTCGCTCGCATTATTAATTATGTAAATATATATATATATATATATAAAATAAATTTGAAAAGGTTTTGAATTTTATTAATATAATAATAATTAATGGATGGATTAGTTGTTGATTCACAGTAAGAAGACAATGATGTAATCCTGGGATAATCCATGAAAATATTTTCGTTTTTATTTAATTAAAAATATTTCCATTTTTTTCCGTAAGAATTCAATTAATCATTTCGTTTTTGAAAGTTGTACTCTTCTTTTTTTACCTTTCATTTCACGGTGAAGGGAAAAAGGAAAGAATCTTACCCAGAGTTTAAAACAAAATGTAAATATATGAGTGTTTATTACCACGCGCCGATGATTGCAACGAACAAGCCAAAATAACATTCTTTTGATGACCGACAAGATTATTTCAGCGAGAACCTCATTAAAGGACCCAAAAAGAAATATAATTTCTACAAAAAATGATTAAAAAGGATTTTGAAATGCTGGCATACAAGGATTACAGGATTTAAATGCAATTAAATTCTCTTGATCGCAATCCAAAACACTGATATAGGAGTATAAACTATAAAGAAATGAAAATTCAAGAAAACATCAATAGAAATATAAATGGGTTAAAAAAATGAGGAATCAGTCCGTGACCGAACAATTTAGTCTAATCGAAATTTTCACTAATTTCATGCAAACACACAAAATTAATTCTTTAAATTGAGATATTTTAAATTTAACACTCATAATCAGGCTCTAATATCACATGTAAATTTGATATCTCAATTCATATAATTACCAAAAACACCCTTCCTTTCTTAAAAAAAGTATCCAAATTACAGTTTGTCAAAATTCTAATAATTAAAATTCAATAACTTTTTAGTTAAAATTCAAACCACAGCTTCTTGTCAAAGTTTTGCAGTAAAATACTCATTAAAATTCAAACTATAACTTCTTGTTATATATAAAGAATAACTTGTCAAAATCTGAACGGTAATTTATTACTAGAGCTCCAAAGTCAGATAACTTGTCCAATTTCAAACCATAACTTGTCAAAATTTGAATTTTAACTTATTAATGTCTTGAGAACAATTTGCCAAAATCTGAACTATAGCATATTAAATTCTAAATAATAACTTATCTTTGGAGTTTCAATCGTCAACAATGAGACGCCAATGCTAGCTCTGACACCAATAACAGTGGTGAAAAGATTTAATAAAAATAAATAAATTAAGGGTATTTTAGTAATTAATCAACAAAATTTAATTGCAATTTAATTTGCCGGTCCTCTCATGATATTCTAGTATGCATTGATTTTATATGTGAATAAAGGGTTTCAAGGGTCCTTCAATAATATTTTCTCATTATTTGATGGCAGAGGCGGTCACGAATTAACAAAACATAAAATAATTCAAAGACTGCAAAGTTCAAGGCTGTCAAGAGATAAAACTCAAAGTATGTAAGGGTGACTTGTGTTATTTTAATATTATGTTTTGTTGTGTGTGAGAGAAGATAATGCTGCTCATTGCAGCCCATATAAATATTGAAAAGGGCACTACTTCCATATTTTTAAAATTCAATGTTATTTTCTTCTTGGCCTAACATATTTTTTTATTGTACAAACCAAACCAAATTCTCCTCTTACATTAACATTACAGGTCAACTAATCATGTTCCTCTTAAAAAAATGCAGAGAAGAAAGGGAGAAATATATATATATATATATATATGAACTGAGTACTTTTGCCTTCATTTAAAAAGCTATTGATTAAGGACGCCCCACGGCATAAAGGAACTAGTAGTAAAAGAAATTACTAAAATACTACTATTTCCAGTAGGTATTATGAAATAGCTCTAAAGATCTCATCAAAATTAAAAAAAAGTGATTAAATTATTAATTTTATTTAAAAATATAATAAATTTTTAATTTTGCTCTTATTTAAATAAAAAATTTTCAAACTTATATTACGTTATCCCTCATAATTAATGAGTTTTAATAGGTGTAATATTTAAAAACATTAATACATCATTAAATGTTTTATATTAAGAACCAATCAATCTTTCTTTAAAAAAAAAAACGTCCTTGCATGAAAACCAAAGAGAATACACTCTGAAAATTATTTACCAGAAAACTATATAGAATGTCATCTATAGTATTCTAATAAATAATTTCCATGGTATTCATCCATAATATTTAGGTAAATGATTTTTTCTTTATAGCATTTTGATTATTTTTGTTTTACTATTTATAATATTTTGTCACCAAGCCATTACTTTTTTCTTAAAAAACTAACTTATTGAAACGTCGCTTATATAATTAAAACCCTTTTTAAATTCTTTCAATGTGTGATATAACAATCTGCCTCAAAAAATAATCAACAATTAATATTTTTTTTATTACTTTCAAGTATCTTCTTATTGAAAATAATCATGTTTGAAGTACAATGGTACATTAAATATGAGTATCTCTTTCAATAAAGATTTAAACTTGATTCACCACATTGTGAAAAATTAACACATTTTATTAAACCCAACTTTTATCAGGAATCAACGGTTATTATTAAATTATACAAACATGATACTAGACACCTTAAAAGTGAGAAAATCATCCCATGTTTTCACATCTGTTGGAAAAATAAAATCTGTAATTATAAATTATTTTTAAGATGCCAATTTTAATTTGGGTAGTAAATACCATTATAATTATAAAATATCTAGCTTAGCTGTCATTTTCGAGGGGGGAAAAAAAGTATCAAAAAAAGCTGGTCAAATAATAGAAAGCAATTAAAAAAGAGATTTCTCATGTTTTCATTAGGAAAGCAATGCCCAATCTTTTACCTAATCCAAGTCTTTTGTCGAAGTACCGAAAATCAGGAGAGTTATTTAATTGGTCAGGAGAGTTATTAAATTGGTCAAGGATTAATAGTTAAAATTATAATTAAATTATTTTCAAGACAATCATAAATAAAATATTTTTATAAATCGATAAATAAATTGATTTAATAGTTTATTGCTTCCGGATTGACCCGGACTACCACACCATGCCTTTCATTCACCAACTATTAGAAGATTGAAATAAATCAGACTAAATAAAAATTTCTCTTTTCCACTTTGGCCCCTCTAGGGACATCATAAAACAAGACACAGAAACTCCAACAAAAAGCACTTTTATAGCATAAAGACGTGGCAAAACGTTTCCATTATAATGAGGCTGCATCTACGATGACCATTATATAGCATCACAGAGGAAGAGGGATGCTAAAAGCAAAAACAATTAAAATCAAAAATGTGATTTTTCTCTCCAAGAATTGAATGAATTGAAATTTCATTGCGAGCTACACCAACTAAACTATACCTATAGTCTATATATATGTGTGAGTTAATGCCTGTGAAGTGAAGCTGATAGCTTAAACAAGTTGCAAACGTCATCGCTGCTGGCTGCGTCTTCTTCTCACGAGTCTCTTCTTACTCTTAAACGGATCAACCCAGTTTCTGTCCTCAGCTACAGCTTGGTTCCATCGCTTTTTAAAGATTTCCAGTTCCCATGTTGACTGCCTTCGTATCTGCAAAATCAATCCTGGTTTAACCGTAAACCAAACCAGGCACTCGAGGCTAGCTTAAGTGGTAAGAGTGGTATATAGGCCTCACCTCGCCTCGCGTATCAAGAGGTGATGAACTGTGTTTCTGATTATGACGGAAAATCAGTGAAAGATTAATGTCAGAAAGATGGCTAAGATTTTATGGAATAGCAAACGAGTCAGAACCATCTAAAATATTAATTACATCAAACCAAAAACTGTACCTTGGTTAGCTTTCTTGAATCCGATTCCTGTGAAAAGAAAGGAAATTATCATTTTGCAGAAAAAGGCAATGGCAATCAAGTTATCAAGTTACTTCTTTTTTTTTCCCCTTCTTCTGAATTGATGGTTTGCAGAAACACGGCTGTATGTTACCAAAAGGAATCTAAAAGAGAGAAAAGCAGAGTACCTTGGTGCTATCATGACCATCCCCACCCAAAGTTTGTATTCCCTTGTGAACCACAAATACACTATCAACAACTCCAACGTTTTTCGTGCGATCCCCCTGGAAAAATTACACTTATTTCAATCTTAATGACAGTCAGGCAGCAAATGATGCTTAAAGGGAAGGACAAGAAATGTAACCGTAGGATAGCATGTGACATGACCAGCAATATCATCATAAATATCTGATAGTCTATAGCAAATTGCAGTTAAAAATTGTAAATGCCATGGCTTGTTTTTCAAATTTTTATGTAATACACAAGGACCCACCTAGTTTCTATAAAAATGAATAGAAGACATGATGCCGTTCAAAATAGGCATTACTAAGGCTGACACATAACACATTAATACTATGTGCAGAAGAATATGATATATGACTGTCTCACTATAGGTGACACTTGTTTGGTTATATAGTTATCTCAAAGAACAAAAAGCATATGCAAAAAGAAACGGAAAAGAGCTCCTATCAGAGAGAACTAAGAAGGAAAGAAGTTTCTAGGATCATCAGAAATAATGAAAGTATGAAAGGTGTCCTGAAAATATGATTTTCTCACCTGTGCGCAATATCCTAGTTTCATATCCATTCCCCATCCATGAACAAGGTCATTCTGGACAAAAGAAAAATGATGACGATGAGTTTACAAAAATATCAAAAAACTGATGTATCTTGATCTATTAGTTGATGTATTTTGATCTGTTAGAATGCCAAAGAAAAATTGAACTCCTGAAAATTACAAAACAGGTTTGAACTTGTTACGGATTTCAAGCAAATATGCAGGTGAAAACCAACACAATATTTTGATTTACCTGTAAAAATCAATTTATTACCTCACATCTCAAATCCCAGATAAAAGCATTTTGACAACCTTTAATTTGCAAAGTGGATTGATTCATAGAATTAAATAAAGAATTTGTGCAATGAAAAAACAATACATGACCACGTTTTGTCATGAGATTAAGTTTGAAAGCAACTGACTTGTCCCAAGCAAAAGCATATACATATGGACCATGGGAATAATATTACCTGAATAAGATGCCAAGCACAACACCAAGCAGATCGAGAGAAAACAGGAGCCATGCCTTCCACAAACCTGCAAAAGTTATATTCAAGGTTTTGTTTCAACAATAATGTCATTATAGAATAGGCAGATACCACAATTTGTCATGAATCATCACATTATGACTCTCAGAGATTATTTTGGAATTGTTGTCGTTCTTTCTGATTCTTCTTTTGAAAGTCGAGATGGAGAAAATAAATAGGACTGAATGAGAAAATAGTGTACACCAGGGTCATCCTGGACCAACAAATCAAAGATGGGCCAAACTTATCAAACATCAATTTCTGACTTTCAAGGAAATTAGTCCCCTCAATAGACATGTAGCCTACCATATCAATGACATGTTTGAGAGCACCAGAATCTCCATGGTGAAAAATAAATTTGCATGGGAAACAGAAAAATGAATACAAGATATTTATCTTGACATATACTGGAATATAATGAAGTAAAGTAATTTATGTAAACATGATAAGGCAGCAGAAGATGGACAAAACCACTTAACAAGACCAGGTAAGGATAACTAAAATTAAACTTCTCTGACAGGTTTAAAGAAGTAACTATTTACCCAGTGCATGGTGGCCCTTCACTGGCATCTGAACACTTTGTACTGCCTCTGAGTTCATATACCCTCCTGTATATATGTACAGCGTACACATTCAATATTTTATATCACAAGCAATGATTAGCGTTTAAGAAGTGCCTATCACTAGTCTCTAACAGCTAACCTATGAACTTTCTTGGTTCTTGCTCTAATAGTAATTCTATGATGTATCTCTGTTGAATTCGGGTCAAGAGCTGGTTGAGAAATTTCCAATCCTTCATCTTTTATAATTTCAAGGTATCTGAAAAGGGGGAAAAAAAAAAGACCAATGCTAGTTATATCACTTTTACATAATGAGGTAGAATATAAATTCAAAAAAATAGAATATGAAATGTTTTTAACAAACTTAGGTACTCCTTTCAGTAAACCAGAAGGTTGACTAAAAAAAAAAAAGCACACACACAGATACAGAGTGCAGTCTAAAACAACTTAATATGTCAACAATAAGTAAGGTGCACAAGAATCTGCCTGACCTTGAGGGGGAAAAATGCTCTACCCCTAAATCTTCATCCCAGAGAAATATATAATCATAAATAGAAACTATATCTGGATGTAGAAATCTTTTTGCGAACCACCTGAAAAAGGACTCAAATATTAATATATGGTTAAACAAATAAATGACATAAGAAAAGACATCAGTAAAATGAGCGCACCCATTTGCATATCATTAAAAGGAAAAGTACACATCTACGGCAAGCATAATAAGAAAAACTGCAGTCTGATATAACCGAGGACACAACAACCTACGCATGGATACATGATGTAATAATGACATGGCCAAGCCAAGGTCGTCCATTCAGGCAGCTCTTAATACACAGTTCATCATCAATCGCTATGAGAATCCCTTGGTATATCTCAGGCATTGTATGGTTACATGATGCTTTTTCAAGTTCAGAAGTGGCTCATGACCACAGGCAGAAATATAAAGACTGACTTCATTAAGTTAACAAGAGCCACAATATTCTCCCAATATCTGGTGCTTAAACAGTAGTCTCATCAGCTCATTCCAAGTCCAAGAGACGTTTTGAATTTCAAAAAAGCTCTTCCATGATATAGAACTAACATGCACTGTGTTCCTAATTTCATAGGAAGAGTTAAAGCAACCTCCCTCAGATCTTCACTGATCAATGACCATTCATATCCTTACCATTTTGTTTGGTTATGAGCAGCTATGTGTATAGCCTTGCTACTCCAATTGAGATCCCACCATCCATTCACGTTACCATCATAATGGAACAAAATGATTGTAAAATTTGCTCGAAGAAACTGAAATCAATAAAATTAGATAAGTTATGCTGATATATATGATTTTGACCATCTTATGATCTGGTATCATACCTTTCGCACCATCACATTGACATTCTGCTTTTGCTTAATACCAACTGGAATTGCCAGCAAGTTCCGATTGGAGTAATCACTAACCTGCAATTCCACAATCACCACCAATTCAGAAAATGATATACCATTCAACTTAACTTATTTATTAGCGCAGGTGACATAGCTCAGGGATGCTGACCTTTGACCTAGAACTACTTCTCGACCATAAAGGTCTTAACTCAAGATCTGAAGTAGCCTGTCTAATACCTTGTGGCAAGCCTTTCAACTTTTCAGAAGCTGCAGGATAACCCTGCACAATGACATAACAGGTGCCATGTGAATACAAAACATACATCCAAGTAACACATGTCTGCAAATCTATGCAAAAATTTTAGAGATACCGGGTGCATCACAAATGATAAAAGAAACTATTGCATGTCATATTAAAAACATTGAGTCTCAAATTTTTGGGGCAAATGAAAATCAGGAATCTAGTCTGGCAAGTAAAACTAAAGTCAGAGTATTTACCTTTGTTTCTCCCCAAAGACTCCACTTTCTGTCTATCTGATAATAGATCATTGTACGCAAAGGAAAAAAAATAAAAATTAGCACTCTCAGTACAAAAATCTCATGTATCATTTTATTGTACAACAAAACACAAAACTTGAGCAATGTGCCATGTGCCTTCTTCAATCAAATGAAAAGAGGCTTCAAATTTATCAAAAGCATGCTAGCAGCTAAAGAAGAGGGAAAAAGTACAAATAGCATCAAAGGTTTCCAAGCTGAGATACTTTGGTAGTAACATTATAACATTTTTAAATGATAACAAGACTTCAGTTCATTAGTTTTGGGAACCGCTTGACACATTTTCTGATAAAAAGAATACTGAAACTGTACAAGGATTTTCAAAATAACGCATCAGAAAGATACATTAGTTAACATTTCAGACCTTAGTTAAGACATGTAATGATGGCACGTACCTCTACTTCATGATATTGATACTTTGTAGTTCTATACACAATAAACAACATCACTGTACACAGAATTGCCATAAAAGGCAACTGTTTCATCTTGAAGCTTGATTTTCCCTGCTGCAAAAAATATGCATGCACAAACGATGAAGTTACAAACGTGTCTCCATAATCCAAATTTTCTACTAGAAATAGTCGATCAAATTTAAAATGATTGCAAGACAAGAGGACCAACCCCATCAGACAAGCCACTCTTTTTTCTAGTCACCACCTCCATGATTTGATTGGCTTCATAGAAAACTGAATCTTTTATTTATATTCATTACAATCTGCCATAATGGAGAGTATCAGATGCTAGTTCAAGCCAAAGTTCAACATATTTAATATTCCAAACAAATCATTAACAAAGTATAGCAACGATACAAATCCCATGTGACTATGATTTGATGTCAGATGCAAAATTTCAAAAAGCTATATTCTAAATTCTGTAGCATAAAACAAGACGCAAAGGAATGTATTTGAGCTTCTCCAAAACCATTATAACACTGAACTGAATGACCTAACAATTTGCCAATCGCGCCTTTAGTGCAGAAGAAGATTAGGGATCAAAATTAGAGATAGCGTGATATGATGCACATGAAGTGCATCGAGAAAGAGAAAAAATGAGAAAGCATGGACTGGAGACAATAAGTCAGTTACAACTTAAAAGGAAAAAACATGCTTAAGATATAGACAAAGATATCAAAAGCATGCTTCGAATTGTTGAACCAGCATTCGCAATCGAAACTAACAAAACTTGCAAATAAAATAACATTAAACCCCACCGGCCATCCAAAGGAAACTACCAAATCAGTTTCCGAGGCCGGAATCAAATGACTTGCGACATAAGCGCCAAAGAACACGGAAACAGGCACATAGACAATGAATTCTCCCGACAACAAGAATCATTTAAAGAAAACAGGGAAGAAGAAAAAGGAAGAAAGAAGAAAGTAGTTGCCCAATAGATTTTACTAGACCTGAAATCTTCAAAATACAATCGATTAGAAAAAACTCTCGCCGAAAATATGGAGTCTCGCATTTCACAGGAAGAAATCAAATAACACGTAAACATCCTTTCAACCACTTGAATCAGATCTAACCACTCTATGACTTTGTGGTTCGTCACTTCAGCAGAGAGTAAAGTTTACCCCCACGTAACAGTGACTAATAAAAATCCTTCATTGAAAGCTGTTCATTGATAAATTCAAACAACCATTTCTCAGGGCAGAAAATTCTCGACGTTTGTTACGGTTTTGAAATCCGGATGTTCTGTCAGACCCGGTATCGTTAAGGCAAAAAAGAAGGGCCAGAAAAGCCAATGCCCACAAACAAGAACCCAGAAAATTCTCATGGGCACCCAAATAAAGAAAAACTCAGAGGCATCAAAGATTAGAAGATCACACACATTACATACCCCACATAGACAAGGAAGCGTGGCAGCTGAACCCAGCAGGAAACAGAGAGCTCGAACGATCCAAAACGACAGCGTCGCCGATACGACACGAATCACAAGTTTCAGAGAGTGTGAAAGCCAGGCAGAAACAACCCGACAGAGAAGAGGGCAAGATGAGAAATGGCCTCCTCTAAGGCTGAGTAAGAAAGAGTCCACAGAACGCAGGAGTCGGAAAAGCCACGTTTAAAGGAGGGGAGAGAGAGACAGAGACAGAGAGACTCTCTAAGTGCATGCGCGGCTTAGCTATGGCTTTTGGGTTGAAGGGCATAGTTTGGTTACCAGATGGCCAAATTAAAAACAGTTCAATGACACCTACCCTTTTCCTCCCTTGTACTCGTGTCCATTATTTGCACCTAAAGACGAAAATTTGTATCGCTACCATTCGCAAGAACCATACTTTATTAGAAAGCTCTGGCCAAAAAAAAAAAAAAACTTTATTAGAAAGCGACACAGTCGGCGTCTCCACCACTGAGCCCTTCGTTTGCTGATCCGGGCATTTCTTCTTTCGCCACTGACGTTTCTTTTTCCAATCTCGTGTTAGTTTACTACCAAGGATCTATCTTGATCCTCTTTCACGGTATCTTTCCTTTTATCTTTTACACTCTTATTTTAATTCCAATTCCAATGTCTGCGGATCAAATGCACTTGTGCATTAATAAAATACTATTCACAAGACTAAAAACTTACCACGTGAAGTTGACGACTTACAACTCCGTGTTTGAAATCTAGCAGAGATTTTTCCAACAAAGGATCTGGATGCGAAATCAGAGAGCACAAGCTGCGAAATGTGAAATGAGTCTATTGAGAAACAGAGTATTGATAATCACATTAGCCCCGTCAACAAACGCTTCCCAAAACCTAGTGCTTTATATAACATTTTTTATATAGCACAATCGGTGGTCAATATTTCGTTCATAGATATAAAATAGAATAATCTTTAATAATTAATATGTTACTTAATTGTTAATGGCAGAGGAATGAGATTGTTGGGGAACAGAAACAAGAGAACTGTGCCGATAAGTTTATGCGAAAGCAAAAGCGAGGGGAGGAAAATTCTTTTCTTGATAGGACTGAGATGGATTTATCTAATCAAAAAATGCCACGCGTAGAGATAAATGGAGAATTTTTCTATGGCGAATATGTTATGGACGCCACCAGTTGATTGAGACCAACGAAGACGAAGATCCAAACCAGTGTGCTCTAAAGAATTACCATCAGACCAAACAAGCGCATTGGATCCCCCCGGCCGTCTCCCTCACGGTTTACCGCCCAGAAAACGATATAAATTCCAATACCGTCTTTTTCTTTTTCTTTTTATAAAATTATATTCCATTCCAGTTGTCTAATATGTACTCCCTACATTTTAAATTAAATTATAACTCTTAATAATGTAATTAATTATTTTTTAATTAATATTATCTTTTTATATTTATTTTATTTAATAAAATATTTTACTTTAAAAGATAAATAAAGTTATTTATTAAAAGTATTTTTTATTAAAGGTACATTAATTATACACCAAAACATTAAAAGTGCTTTATAATTTTGAATATATAAACTCTCAAAAAATATTTTATATCTTTTAATAGAAAAAAAAGTCACTTCTAAATTTTAACTACCTCATCAGAATATTGTAGAGTAATTAAATTATTATTTTTTTAAAGGGAAAAAACGTTCTAATTCAACTTTATTAAATTTAAATGTATCATTTTAAATTTATTTTTCCCACACATACAACATCTTAATCTGCAAATAAAAAATCGTGAAAAGATAAAATAGTGAGAAAGCAATTGATAGTCTATTTTTATTTAATTATCTAGCATATTGAAATGTCTTAGCTATTACCATTAGTTTAAACTAATCCGAATCTCTATTATATGAAATTCTTTTTACTTTTTAGTTGCTACCAAGCTTCATGAGTAATTGGGATATCTTTAGTATTTTTATTTAACATTTATATCAATATTCAAATACAACATTTTAAAATAAGTTTATCCAACTCTTGTGATTAAGTTAATCAAATGACAGTATTAATAATCTATCTTTTTATATAAAGTAGCTTAAAAAAATAACTATCAATTTCTTTCAAAATGTGATTTATGTATAGTGGAGAAAGTGCAATATATTACATTCCCTCTGTTCAAAAATATAAAATATTTTTAATCAAATTTTACCTCTCAATAAAGTAGTTATTTACTTTCAAATTAACCTTATCTTTTTATTTATCCCTATTAAATATTCTATAATAAATATAAAGTCATTATCAATAGGAACACTTTAAAAAAAATATAATTATTATATCTTCAAAGATTAAAAATATTATATATTTTTTTAATAGAGGGAGTATACTAATGTTATATTTATTAAACTATATTAATGTTTAAAATTATTGAAGGATTAAACACGTGCTTTGCTATGGTTTTGAACACGTATGAAACGTTTCATTGAGTGCAAGTATATAGACATGATTGACTTATTATTGATGAATACTTTATTCTATTTTTAGGATATTAATTAACTGGAAATGAGATTTCTCTTCAGATTTCCCGCGACTTGAAATTTACTTGATAAAACAAAAAGAATCTTTCGCTACACATGCTCGTAATTCGCAAGGCTTTCAGTTTTGGTGCTCATAGAGTGATTAGAATTATTATGCTCATCATGTGAGTGAACAATTTAGACCGTCTAAATTTTTAATTTGAATAATCTAAAATTATCAATTTTATTTTTATATTTTAATATATATTTATTAAATTATAAAATATAAAATTTTAATAAATTTATTTTGTCATCAATTTAAACAATACATATTCAGTTTGAGTGATCCAATTTAATATTAATTTTTAAAAAAATTTATAAATTAATTATTTAGATGTACTTTGGTTTCAGTCTGTTTAGAGTATATTTAAATAATTAATTTATAAAAAAATTTAAAAATTAATATTAAATTAGACTATTCAAATTAAATTTGTATTGTTTAGATTGATAATGAAATAAATTTATTAAAATTTTAAATTTTTTATAATAAATATAGAATAAAATTAAAAATAAATTTTATAAAATTTGAACCATCTAGATTAAAAATTTAGATGATCCAGATGCTCATCAAGTGATGAGTACGGCACTGCAACTGATTTCATTTGCAAGACAGTTATCTGCATCTTTATTATTGTATTGAAAAATTGATATTGATACAAATGTTATTGACATTTAATGAGATAAATTGATTAGATAATACCGTATTTTAACAGTAATGAATACTCATGAATATATATTTATTATTTGTGGGTTATAATTATAATTTAAAAACTGAGAAACGTCTGCAGTAACTTTTTGAAACAATCATCCTGGCCAAAGAAAAGGGCTCTTTTAAAATAATCAGATTGGAACTTATGAGTCTAAATTCTAACAAGGATTATATATCAATTATCAACTATTATTATTGTTGCTGCTTTGAAAAAAAAAAACTTAATTCTCACTGATAGGGGTCGATACTCGAAGCTAATTAAAGAGGCCATGATCACTTAAACATAAGATTTTAAATTTATTTTATTTTTCTGTTTTTTGATACGTGAGATCTTAGGTTTAAACCCTTGTGAATACTGAAAATATCTCAAAAAGAATTACTCAAATTGGGTCTAACAAAAAAATGTAAAAGCATCCCCCATCTATTACAAAATATATTTATTTTATTTTTCTGTTTTTTGATACGTGAGATCTTAGGTTTAAACCCTTGTGAATACTGAAAATATCTTAAAAAGAATTACTCAAATTGGGTCTAACAAAAAAATGTAAAAGCATCCCCCATCTATTACAAAATATAAAGCATTTATTAAGAATTGAATGTTAAATAATATATAATATTCTTGGCATTTTAAATTGTAATTAATGTATTTATTTCAAAAATGTCATTAATAAATAAATTATTTTATATTTATTTTTAAGTTAAACACTTTATTAAAAAATTTTAAAAATGTGCAAACATAGTGTTAATTTAAAAATAATTAATTAATTTATTCAGGATGAGATTTGATTAAAAATACTTTATTTAAAAATACCTTACATGTTTTTTTAAAAAAAGAAGAGTGTGTATAATTGTATTCATAATAATATAAAAAAACAATCGGCCCCAACAAAGTAATATTTTAAGAAAAATCAAAGTAAAAATATGTAAATTTGGACCATCCAACCTAAATGTAAACTGTTTAGAGGCGGTAAACTTTTAATGCTCATCAATATGATGACTCATCATAAAATTATTAATGAGCACTAAAACTATTTCCCCAACAATGCTCAAATCTTAAAAAAAAATTGTACAGTAATGAAATATAAATTGCAATAAAAAATGTGATTGAGTTAGGAATGTGGGGAATCAACTTAGTCGATCATCTATTGAACTGGTTCCACATCATGGTAGAATATTTGGTAGAATATTAGTGAGCCCAATTAAATATTTACATATGACAGAGTAATATCTCTTTTTCCTTCCTTTATATCACACCCAAAAGCTTTAATGTCCAAAAATGAATGAATCATGCATTCATAACTAACCCCACCTCATCATTAAAATTCAGTAATATTATATATATATATATATATATATATATATTTTTGTGTTTTCTTTTTTTTTATTACTCATGAATATTTTTTATTGAAGACAATCCTACTTGAGATGCTGTTGAGTACTAAATATAGATATATCTCCCAACAAAATTTGAATCTCAATTTAACATATTGTAAAAAACCAATCCTTTTTACTAAATACAACCTTTATTAGTTTTGTGCTTCCTTTTTTATACATAAAAAATTATTCCATGTCATGTTAGCTAAGGTTGCCTTTTGCATTGACGTTTTCTATTTTTTGGGTTAAACACTTACTGCATGACACTCAAATTTTACGCTTGAAAGCGTTGGTAAAAATAATTAGCAACACCACAAGATATATATTCTTTCTGTTTAAAAATATAAATTATTTTTAATTAAATTTTACTTTTAATAAAACAGTTACCTACTTTCAAACTAACCATATATTTTCATATTTATTTCTATTAAATACTCTATAATAAATATAAAATTATTATTAATAGAGTCACTTTTAAAAAAAACAATAATTATATAATTAAAAATATCTTATATTTTTAAATATTTATTTTTTAAAAAAATATTTTATATTTTTAAACGGATCAAAATAAGTGTTTCGTGACAACGAAGAGCTTTAAATATTGTGTATTCAGGCAGAATTCACATTTGTCATGTGAATGATAAGTAAATGACCATACATGCGCGCTCCCAACTTAAGATTTTAAAACAACTTTAATTGACCTTCATTAAATGCCATCATGGAATCCAAGTCTCTCTCTCTC